CTCTCCACACTCCCTCATCCTGCAAAACACAAATGCAGACACAAGCAATTGTATGGAAAGCACTGATAATGCGAGAAAAATGGGGGTTAAATTCTGCTTTTTTCCAATTTGCTCCTGCATAAGGATTCTTTTTTCTAAAAAAAAAAAAAAAAAAAAAAAAAAAAGAGCTATTTTTCTGGTTCATCTTGCTTCGGGCTCTAAAAAATGATGACCCAGAATGTAAAAGAAAAAACAAACCACTACACTCTGTGCCCTCCCCCCTCCCCTTCCCAAACTGCCACAACTACAAAATTCAGAAGAGTCTGATGACATTAGTGTCATGTAAATAATACTTAAAAATACCTACAGAAATATCAGTACTTGGCTTGTAACACCAGTCGCTGGACTTAAGGAACACATACCAAGAAATCAGGGCACAATCAAAGTCAAGATTGGTTTAATCTCATACTGAATTATAGCGTGTATCACCATATTCCATCTAGATAATTGTCTTTATCACTTCAGTAATAGAAATGTAACTATCTGGCCTGAGTAAAAGCTCATCCTCCCCTGCTTTAACTGGCTCTTTAGTTAGGGTACAAACCATAAACTCTCATCAGATGAGCATCCAGTTCAAGTAATACTTAACCTTCACCGGTGCTCTTTGCGTTTTGTCAGGTGTTTGACCACTAAAATTGCAGGTCCGTCCTATTCCCTTGAGATTGAAGATATATTTTACTTCATCCAGTTGATGGCGTTTATATACAAAATGATTATCACAATTTTTATCACCTGTTCCATAGCTGAAACTAATCGAGCTTTTGTCTATTTAGTTTGTCAGCACAAGGAATAGAGAAAGCTAAGTCAGCGTGGACACTAAAGGCTCAGCGAGCGCAGGGTGCTGCAGAGCACGCTTTTTCTCAGATGCTTGCATTCAAAGCACAGCATTGAACTAATCACGCTTACTGCCTTTTTGACTTCTGCTGAATGGGGAGAAGGGTCCTAGTGGCTTCATTTCATAGGTACATGAAATATTAGGATATGGAGGCTCAGAACTGTACAAATGTAGCTCTCATTAGACAGATATGTAAAACTCTGCGTTAGCACCCACCAGCTCCGAGCCAGTGGGACAGAAGCCAACACTGGTTCAGGAATTGTTTACCCACAGAGCTAATAAGAACCCAGACCTCTCGGGCGGGTGTGTTAGCACCGGCACGCGTCCACACTGGCAAGGCCACGGGGGCTTTGGAGGGGAATTTGTTTCAAATCCTGCTAAATTATAACCGGGGCAGCAGCAAAGCTACTGCAGGGATGTTTGAACCTAACTACGTAATCTTGCCCTTATCAGATAAGGTTGTGCTAAAAATAATTCGGTGGTGATAGGGGTCCCAAGACCTGCAGAATCTTCTGCCTCATCCCTAATTTCTGCACTGCCAAGACTGATTTGTAGTTTGCTTCTAATTTTAAAGGTCACAGTCCATGCAACACCATTGAAATGACTGACTGTTGGTTTTGCCTTTTCTAGAATTTTTCTTTTTTCTTTTTTTGCCACCTATGACGTATGCTGGTTTCACACAGAAAGGGGTCATGGCAGTGGGGAATGCAAACCCCAGCCTTAATCTTGATTACAGTAGACAGGATGCAATTCTGCTGGGAGGGCAGCAGCAGTCTCAACCGAGTTACCAAACGTCCCAGTTCTGGAGGCCTGGGAGACGGTCAGTGATGTGCTGGGCGGTGGACGGCCAAGCTCACTGCACAGCTGTCAGGCTGCAGAAACCTACAGCCAGTAAAGATTTGGGCTTATTGTGAATTGGCAGCAGATGCTGATGAAAAGCATTTCCCCCTCATTGTAACATATCTAATCGCAAGTGCTCTCAGTCAGGTAAGGTCCTGAACCTTACTACTTAGGACTTACTCTCAACACATTATAAACTAGCAGTTCAATACATAGTATATGAAGTTGCATGCAAACAAGATGCCTCCCCATAGTTAGCTTATTCCTAAATCATCATTTTCAGCACAATTACTGCTAAAAACATTTCTGTAGCTGTTTTAAGCTCTGCCAAAAATAATGTGAGCAGCATTTAAAATTAGCTTGATTTTGTGTGTGCGTGTATGTGTTTGTGGGTGTGCACATGTATTTAAAATGAACACTTCTTGAAGGTCTCCCTTTTCCTTGCCCCCAGTGAAGGTTTCAGATTTTATTACGTAAATCCAGGAACTCTTCATATCATAAGGAGCAGGTACAAATGTTGGTGCCACCTCCTGTCCTCTACAGGTTGTATCTTGGGGGGCCCTGCAGCATGAACACAAGGGAGATAACAAAGAGAAAGTAGCAGAAGGAGGTTTAAGTTTGCAAGTAAAGATCATGCTCTAGGAAAGAACAGTTACATGCTGGCATTTAAAAGGGAGTAATTGCCATCAGAAAATCATGGAGTTTTACAGGCACTGGCACCAAGTTATAGTAATTTGATGAGCTGATGGACTATACTACAGCAGTGTAGCACAGCCTGAGTGTTTTAGGCGGTTGCGTGCTCCACTCCAGATGATTGCATTCCTGTGGGGACTGGGATTGTGGAGCAGAGAAAACATTGCAATTTGATGGATGTAAAATTGCAGCAAAACAGATGACTTATTTATAAACAACACTCGTTACAAAATCCGGATGACATGTCTAAAACCTAACCCACTCCATATTAGTCCCGTTACAGAATACGGCAACCTTAATGGCAGAGATCTAATCATTTGAAGCAAATACCTCAGAGCTGCATCACATATTATTGAAACTATCATTTTAAAACACATTTAACACTTTACTAAGAGATATAAATCACCAGGATCTGAAACAGGAAGTGCAATTATCTGAATACTGTTGCTTCCAATCCGTTAGCAATAAAAATGTGACAGCTATTAAAATGATAAACACTATATCATTTCAATTTTTTATCACCAGGAAGCATTAAAAATAAATGACAAAAATGCAAAGCAGCCTTTAGACATTTCAACAAACCTCACAGTGTTGGTAGCAAGAGCAACGCAAGCACACTTTGGATATTGGCTGTATCTTAAGTGCATTCTTGCAAACAATTTAAAATGACAAATTAATTCTGGGTGCAAGCAAGTACAACTTTTGTTTTTCTCAGTCACACCAGCATAGGTATTACCTTGGCCCAGCATGGCTACACTTTCCTGCTAAGCTCAGCCATTGCAGCAGACAGCATTTCTGCACGGTCGCACACCGCTGAATCTCTCCACCCAGTTATCTACGAATCTCCAGTCAATGAGAGCACCTCAAGCTTTTGTATCAATTTAGGTATTCTTTCCTACACTTCCATTCTTTGCCCATGCAACTTAGATTGCTCTTCTCCCTCTACAGTTACACAAGGTGCAAAAACCTTATTGTTCCTTTTCCTCAATTAGCAGCCAAGTTGTCCTTCCAGTTTCTTTTTCTACCCCCCTTCAATTTCTTCTGTAGTGTGACAGCTTTCAGATCTTACTGTCAGGAAGTTACAGACTTGTGCCCATAATCCCAGGTGTATTTCCAAGCAATGTTCTCAAGAAGCTTTTGATAGAGGCAGTGGAGAAAAAAAAAAAAAATAAAACCACCAAAAAAACCCAAACCAAAACAAACAGAGAGACACAACTTCAGAACACAGCTTCTGTGAACTTTGATTAATACCTAGGGGAAGGTGGGTTGAACCCAAGTCATTGTTTGCACAAAGTTTTATCACTTGATCCATCAAACTTCAAGCGATTTCATACAGCAAAATACTTGAGAGTGTCTGTATGCCATATTATTTCTATTTCGTTCTCTAGGCATGACACCAGCTTTCTGGAGGGCCTATAACTGGATAACAGATTTTAGTGAAACACAAGCTTTTAGACTTACAAATTTAAGCAATGATTGTCACAGTCTTCCGATGCGCTCGCCTTCAGATGGCATCACATGGCTAAGGGAGACCGCTCCTCTCGGGTGTGCAAAATACAGTCTCAGGTGGTTCCCTGCTGTTGCGCATCCACTTACAGCTCTCCCCTGGCCACTCAGTGCAGATTCCACGCCGGGAATTCAGTCAGGTGACTAATGGCACAGAATCTTGGTACTTCCTCTTCCCCAAGGCTGTTACATTTTGGTGTGTGTGGTGGTCAGAGTCCATTTAACTGACAAATCTCCTTTTAAGTCTTCCTGTCCCAGGGGGATTATTTTCCAGGTCACCTTCTCTTTGTATGTGACACTCACCTTGGCTTTGACAACAAAGTTGATTAGAGTTTCCACAGTGCATGCACAGTGGGCATTAAAGCATTTGGCTTACCCTTCCTCATCAGCATACTAAAAGCAGCATCTTTCTCATACATCAGGCTCACTCAGCTAGTTTTGTGAGAGAAAGGAGCATTGCAGAATTTAACTAACTAGTATTTCAGACCATATGGCTCAGCATCCCAATTTCCTTTGGCTCAGCTCTCTCAATGGATTGTTTTGGCAACTGGAGTTAAGAACACAAGATATATATGTAAGAAAGAAGTCCAACAAGAGTACCAAATTCCCTTTTTTAAATTAATCAGCAATCAGATGGGGGAAGATATGCAAACCCCCAAGACAATAATATTCACTTCAGTTGATAAGAAATTATCCTGATTATCTCTACTTCTTGTTCATTTGGCGCAGTTTAGCAGCTTCCTCTTACTCCTGCTATCTTTGATTGAGAATTAAGTAAAGATATACCAGTGTAAAAATTCTGTCATTTACTAAAACTACATTCTCTGCCAAAATTACTGTCACACCACTACAGGTAAGGCCCTTATGGGTGGCTTTTGCCCTACAGTTCAGAGGTGTGAAGACACAGCCTGCAGAAGAACAGCCTGGCTACACAACAAGGAGCAGACTTTTTTTTTTTTTTTTAAAATTTCAGTTCTGGTGGAGGTAGCACGCCATATGAGCTGAAACAATGATCTACTTCGGGTCCTAATTTTGCTCCCTTCATTCTGTGCTTGGAAAGGAAATGCATGAATGACCTCCACAGTCATTAAGAAAAAGGCTCAAATATGTTTATTTCGACACAATTTAAAAATATACAAATACATTAAATATCAGGGTTCATAAAGCCAATTTTTTAAAATACATATGTGTTATTATTTTGAAGGGAGATGGATACCAAAACACCACATTATCTATTTAACTTGACAGTGCAAACGAATGAGAAACTGCTTAGACCAGGAGTCCACTGTGTCAGACAGCAATAACAAAAGCTGAATAGTTCCTGCAACACAAGAAAATAGTAAAAATAATAACTGCTGCATTTAAAAGGGGAGGGGAGGAGTGGAAGAAGAGTATGAGAAGGGGAAGAGAAATGTTATGTTAGATGCTTGACATTAAACTAAGTTACAATATGCACTTGAGGATAAGATAGGGTTCAGATGTACAATGACATGAATGATCCTTCGGTAATTTATGTGTAGAAAGAAAATACTAGCAACTAAGCAATACAAGAATGCACTATCATTGACAGATTCACAAGCAGAAACTCCCTGCTTGCAAAGGTGCAGTTTCTTGGCATTATTTGCATAGTTACTCCTCTTCCTTAGCAGTTAGGAAAATATTCAGCAACTAAGTTCAGGAAAAACCTATGACCTCCAGACATAATTTCTACCTGTGGAAAAAATTACAGCAGCACAAAGATACAAAGACATCAAAATGACAGAAACAAAACTGCCACCTCCTGAACTTGGAACATACAAACTATAAAGCACATTTCATATTGAAAGCTGAAGGGTGTCAAAATGGCATTATCTGCTCTCTTTAGTTTTGTCCAGTAGAACAAAAATTTTACTTACCATTGTCATAGAAAGAATCTTAAGTTTCTCCATACAGAATTTCAGGGGGAGTTTTTTGTGTTGTTTTTTTTTGTTTGTTTGTTTTGTTGGGGTTTTTTTGTTTGTTTGTTGTTTTGTTTTGGTTTTGTTCTGTTTTTTTGGGGGGGGGGGTTGGTTGTTTGGTTTTTGTTTTGTTTTGGTTTGGTTTTTTTTGCATGGGGACCTCTTCATGGTTTGTTCTTTACCCCCAAATTTTTGCCCCAGCTTGTTTGGATGCTACAAAGAGATCTCATTACCTTGTAAGGAGAGAGACAAAAGTAAATACAACTGCACTGAAACTTACATTAAAACAGGTCTATTCAATAAGATAAATATATCTCTCCCATCCCAGTTCTCATCTTTCAGCTTTGAATAAGTTTTTAACCACAGTGAAAAAGGAATCTGCATCACAGGCTTTGGACTCTCCATATGGGTGTCATGTCAGCTCAAGACAGTTATGTTCACATTTTCCTGAAAAAGAGAACTGACTGTTCCAGTTTAGGTTCATGCCAGTGGATGCTGATGAAGAGCTTCCAAGTAATTTATTTTAGGAGCACAGACCCATAACAGAGTGCCAGCTAAACCAAAAGAGGCAATAGCAACACAGGTAGGTGGGAATGCACAAGCTGCATAGTTATAATTTCCCATATGGTGACAGTGACACTTCAACCAATTTAGCAACCTCAGGTTTTTCACTTATTCCCCAGTCACCCACTCTTATGCCCATACCACTGTGCCCGTTATGCTGATAGCTGTGTTCACATGGCAACAGAGTCAAACACGACAGGAAAAAAATTGGTGAAGGATAACCTAGCCAAAAAAAATTATTTTACAGCTACTTTAATTTCCTGATCAAGTGACTACTCAGCCACACAGCTGGCAAGGGACGGGCAAGAACAAGCATCTGAGAGTGAGGGCTATTTATCCAGTGCTTTCAACAAGGAAATACTTGTTGAGCTCGGTCATAAGGTGCTGGCCTGCAGATATCAGGCATGTTACTGAAGGGCTTGACCAAAGAAACCCCTTATTGCATTGGCAGAAATCCCCCTGACCTCACCTGTTCTTCTCAACACTCAGTGACATGTCTACCGGGTGCACAGCTACCCTGCAGGAATTTTGGTTTCCCTTCAACTGCTGCGTTAAGGGAAGGAAGCCAGCGGAGACAGTCTTTGCAGGACAGACATAGCAGCCTATCAGTTTACAAAGCCATAGAAAATGGCTCTTTACCCGAGGACTGCACCGAAGCCAATTGGAAAAGCTTCCCGATGAATTCCCACACTTGGGATTGGACCCATACTGACCACAGCCTTCAAAAGCACCAAGAACAACAATATCTGGATAGCGGGTCTATATTCACAGTTAAAAACCAGGGTCAGCTATGTCACAGGCTGAAGAGGATGCTCCAGGAGGAGGCATCAATTTTTGCTTCAAAAGGATACAGCATGTTAAGTATTGTTATATTGTCCTACAATGTTAAAGCAGTGGCACTTAGTGTTAGCATTAGTTAGTGGGTCCTTCAAACGAGTCCACATCCTTGAGGAATCCCAGTATTTTGTGTTGGCCTGCATCACTGAGACATTCAGCTCTGGGGACACAGAACACATCACAACACAGGAAGAAGTACTTGCCAAAGCTGAAAGTGTACAAAAGAAAGGCAGATTCTTTAAAGATTTTAAACACAGCATCTGTAGGAAACAAATGGAACCACAGAGCTGGAATAGTGCATTTCAGGATCACCAAAGCAGTTCACTGAACTGGATGTAGCCTCCCATCAGTATCTTTGCATTAGTTCATTTCTCTGTTAACATTTGGCACAAACCCTTTGACACAGTAATTTAGCTTCCATTTAGGTCAGCTGCTTGCGATGTTTTCCTGACACTTCAGTGGATTCAGAAGAAGTTCCTTCAATGCTGTGTACATTTATAAAGTCCTCAGTCAAGAATGAAGGCTAAACGTTGCTGACCCTGGTTTCAGAGGAAGAGATCATAGCAGCAGATGCAGATGTCACTAGCGACCGTTCTCGTCTGACATATCGTGGCTTCCGAACTGAAATGGTGGGCACAGAAACATCATCAGCACCTGCTGTATATGCATGCCTTTATCATTAATTTATAACACCACATGCCATCTAATAATTCCTGAGTGACTAAAGTCATTCTGGACCTTAAAAAAACAAAACCAAAACCAACCCTCAAACAAAAAACAAAACACAAAAATAACAAAAAAACCTACATAGAGCTGATACAGCAGAAGTTTACAAATAGACTTTTTAAACAAGCTTCTAATGGCCTAGTAAACAAGGTGTTCATTACAAACTGGCATTTCCATGATTTGTGTTTACAGCATATGCAGCTTTCTGTTTTCAGCCCTAACAAAAACCCCCACAACTATACTTTCTTTTTAAACAGATGTATAAATTAAAGTAGGGAAGACTTTTCACAAGCAGCACTGGCTGTCAGTTTAACAGACAGACCCAGACCAAGTTTGGAACATATCTAAAAATGTTTAAAAGTTAAAGACTGCATTAATAAAAAATTAAATTTTAATTATACCATCTTGATTAAAAAGGTCTATGCATACATGAGAAGTGACACCAGAAATTTTGATGAGCTTAGAAGGCCATTATTTCTTAAGTTTTTAGAAGCTTTGGCCTGTCTCACTTTTAACTCATCAACAAATCCACTTTCCTAGCCACTCTAAATTAATTTCATGTATAGACATAAAATTTTCTATCATTTGCAAAATATATCCTTTGCTAACTACTACTTTTCAAACTTTGTTACGCAGTCAGAGACACTTAAAACAATGACTTGATTTAATTAGGTGTAATCCATTGCCCTTTTAAGCATATATTTTGGGAGAGTCATATTAGATATTTTATGCTTTATTAGGCTGCCACTGGCTCATTAATAATATAAACCCAGCATGTACTATTTTCTAGAAGTAGCACAAATTTAGAGGCCCACCAAAAAGCAAGTTTTTGCTCTTGGATTACCCAGATGTGGTGTAAAAAAAGCAGATTAGAGTATAAACTTCTTAGTAAAATTTATAGGTTGAAATTATGAAAAATTGGGGAGGAAAACTGAGTCAAGGTGATTAGATGAAATCTTCCCCAAGAAATAAATTTCACACTTACTAAAAACACAACTCTACCAAAGAGAGACAAGCTGCAAACACACCCCCCCTCAAACAGTATATTCCAAACAGTCTGTGTTATTTGCTTCAAGAAGCTGATAAGCTTCAAATCAGCAAGCCTGAAAATAAGCCAACCTGACATTGTCAAGAAGATTCCAATCCTGAAAATAGGACCCAGACTGAATAATTTATTTTTGAGCACTTATGAAAAAATATTTGCATCTACTTGTAAGACTTCTCTAATAGGACAGAGGAGTTGAAGATCTATTTTAGCAGCTGTCAAAGATCTATTTTAGCATAAAGTACTCCATCAATACTTTATGCCTACATTAATTAAAGCAATAAATCCTATCAGAAAGGTCTATTAGACAGATTTCATTGGATTTCTGTCCCCTCAACAGATGCCACAGTTCTATACCAGGATTTACAGGTAATTGCTTTGACTTGCTATGTGTTCTTAGCATATCCACTTTGAGACAGTTTGCCTGCTTTTCAATAATGAGATGCATAAAAGGGAAGCCAACAGGTAAAATATTTGTAGCAGCATGCCCCAGAGAACAGTTCCTCACCTGAAGAAGCTGGGGGAGGTATCATAGATGCCTGCATAACAGAAGAACGATCATGTCAAACAAAGCAACTTTTGTCTTCACAGTCTTTCATTAAAAAAAAAAAATACAGGAACATTTTAGGGTTCCAATAATATTTACTGTGTAGTCTTTCTTGGAGAAAGTAACTCAATAGAATCCATACGGTCAGTATTCATCTTTTGCCCTTTTTTCCAGTCCAGACCCAGAAATATCTTTTACTTTTATTTCAGCCTCTTGTACATTAGATTCATTAGCTCCCTAATGAACTGTTAAAACTTTAAGTTATTGTTTACTTTATGTTTGATGCTTGCTTGTTCCTATCGGAAGGACGGAATTTACTTACTGTTTCACTAGGCTGGAGAACAGATGCTAAAAGAGAAAGAGAGAGACTAACCATCATTAATCTAGAAGGCTAGAACTGCTTGTTTTCTAAAAATACACACATGCAACAACATAATTCCATTGTTAAAAAAATAGTTTTGTCACAAAGACTATCAAAACAGATCAGAACATTCAGAAATCCCATTAGTGGAATACATTGCCCGTAGGACTCTTTCCAAGATTAGAGATAAAGGGTTGCAAAGGTCTCCAGGAATGACTTATTTTACTTTCAAAGAAGGTAGCCACAGCAGTATCTCTTTAATGTGAAGAAGCTTCAACAGGAAAAAATGGCACTTTGAGCCAACTACCAGAAAAAGGTGATAGAAATAGAAAACAATTGAGCAGTGAAAGATGCAATCCTTTTATACAAGAGGTAGCTGTCTTTATTGGCCACATGATGATCATCATCCAGACAGAAGAAAAGCTAACATGATAATAAGCAAGAGAAATGTTTCTAATGCTTCTCCTTCAAAGGAGGACATCGATGCTTTAGCATGCTGGACCAGAGTGAGCTATCAGTACAGTATGTGGAAGTCAGACCAGTATCACTGAAGCCTCAACAGAGGTCTGGTGTCCCTCCATCTTAGAAATGTCATAACACAACAGCTCTTGACCCACTTAAGAACTGAAGGAGAATCTCGTACTAACTAAATTTGCTCAAAGACACATGCAAAAGCAACCCAGAGGTTTCAATATGGCAGTTGTGATTAGAACACTAGCAGTTCCTGTGGCACTGATCAGTTTAGACCTTAGGTACCTACTGTTGTAGACTTTTACATGAAATAATACCACAGATACTGGAAACGTGATGTTCCATTGTCATGGTTTGAACTTGGCCAGTAACCAAATATCACGCAGCCGCTCACTGCCCCCCCCCATCCCTGACCGGCATGGGAATGGGGGAGGGAATTGGACAGGTAAAGGGAGACTTGCAAGTTGAGATAAAAACAGTTTAATAATGGTAATAAAAGAAAACAACAATAATAATAGAAAGTATAAACGGGCAATGCACAGTTTGACTGCTCCCCACCCACTGACTGATACCCATCAGTCCCAGCTCGTGATCCCAAAAGATCAAAATCCCGCATTCGCAATCCTGGAAGCAAGAGAGAGCCCCTTCCTGGCCGCCCTTCCTCTATATACCAAGCATGATGTTACATGGTATGGAATGTTTCAATGCCCAATTTGGATCTGTTGCTCTGGCCATGCTCCCTCCCCACTTCTTGTACACCTGCGCACAGGCAGGACATGGGGAGTTGGAGAGTCCTTGAAATCTCAGCAACAATTGAAAACATGAGTGTGTTATCAGCATTCTTCTCACACCGAATCCCATACTGAATCTAAACCACAGCACTATTCTAGCTACTAAGAAGAAACACTAACTCTATTCCAGCCCAAACAAGGACATCCATGAAATTACTATGACTAGATACAACATTCTTAGCCAAACAATGGAATTGTATTGCTTCACCCACCCCCTTTTTCTCTTTTCAAGCTTATTTCTATTGTGACAGTCTAGCTTGAGCTTGGTCCTGTAAGACATGAATAAAAGTAGCAGGAGGTCTATTTGTTTAGCTGACCTACCCAATAAACAGCTTGCTTTCAACAGAAGGAGCTCTAACACAGCAAATGCTGTGTGAGAAGTTGTCATGGGAATCATTCAAAGTGACTGCATAGAAGGGGTGAGACAGAGTCCTAGATCAGCCTCAGTTTCATGCAAAACACTGGGCAAAATGGAGACATTGCCTTCCACATATTTTACCTACCACCTCCTGGACACTGAAGACCAGTAAAATGTGGACACATAGAACAGCTTCACAGAAACTGAAGCATCTGAAAGAGCCAGATGTCTACATAAAGTCTTGGTGCTCTATGGCTAAGCACATCCCAGATATTCATTATAAAAAGAATAAATTTCATAATAAAAAGAAAAGCTAAAGTATGTTCACTTTAAAAAAATAATGAAGCAGCTAGCTCTTCCAAGCCCCAGCAAATCCTGCATTTAGAGTGCAAACACAGTTGAATGAATAGTGCAATAATGAGGAACCAAGTTCCATTCCTTTTCTCCTGCTGCTGACACATCCATGGTAAGTACACTGCCATTTTGTATTGCGGTTCCCTTCTCTCTAAACTAACAATAAACCACCACTGGTTTTTGTAAGGCTTTATAAATGCCTGACATTTTGTATACTGAAATAAACAAGTATTATTAAGTTCTACAGAAATGCCCTCTGTGCAAAAAGCACCAACTTTTTTTTTTCTTTCCTTTTTGAAATCAGCTATCTAATAATCAGTGACAACTCATGTCAAGTATTGTAATCTGGCAAATCTTTGAAAGCTACAAAAAAACAATAGCTAGGTTAGTAAGAGATACTGTGTAATATGCACCTAAGCACACAGACTGAGAACAGACATCTACCTTACCACAAAAACATCATACTGAAAACATGTAGCAGGAGAAAATTTTTCATTAGTTTGCATTGCTTTGGTTGATCAAGAGACACAGCAGTGGCTACAATGAATTAGAACACTGACATGAAGTTTAAAGGTTTTAAATTAAGAAACTGAGCAAAGGCCCGAACTTCAGAGATTAAATAGACAATTAGAGGTATTTTACCTTTGTTTCTTCTGTAGAAAACATTAGGAAGTTTATTGGCACGTTTGAGGTAGAAGAAAGAAGCAACAGACAGAATCAGGAATAAACTGATGAAAAATGTCCCTAAGATGAGAGAGGCTGCCACTTCTGGGCCCCCTGTACAAAAAAAAAAAAAAAAAAAAAAAAAAAAAAAAAAAAAAAAGAGAGAGAGAGAAGACTATTATTCACTAGAAATCTCTTCTAATAGAAGGGCTGAACAAAAGATAAAGACCAACTTCCTGATATTCACAGGAGAAGAAAAAAAGCAGTGGGGTTTTTTTCATATACAGACAGACCTCACTGAAACATTTGTGAAGATCTTTCAATATTCATTTCATTCTATGAACAACTTCCCCAACCCCACCTGCCAAATGTCACAGAAACTTTAGTCTCTACTTTCCTGAAGGTAGCCACAAATTCTTAACCCACCATTCTGTTTCTTTTACGTAACTTTCAAAACCAGTGCTGGGAGGCACTCAACATTAATAATGTTCTTTTATTCCTTAAATGAAGTGTCCTAAAGACAGAACTTGTCAACAGACAATATACCACAGGTACAAGACACCCAGCAATATGTTTTCCTCAAGTGACTGATATAGAAACTATCCAAAGGAGGCAGACATTAGCAAAAGGTGCCCTCCCTCACCTCTATTCCACTTTCCCTGCCTCAGAAAATGCCCTGCATATTTACTCTGCTGTTTTATTTATTTAAAATTATGATCACAATGAGCAAGTATTTTAAGAAACAAAAGTTGTTTATGATCTTGTTGCAGACAAGCTCTGCTTCAGAAGTCCACACTCTGAAGAGCGCTAGACACTTCAAGTCAAGTATACACACATGACAAGACAAATGTTAGAAAGGGATCAGCAGCACCCAAGGTTGACATGGTTGTTTAGCTTTTCTTTTTAAGAGCACTGATGATAAGCACTCACCCTCTAACACTAGATCATCTTGCCTCTTGCTGAAGTATGCAACACTGCTATCTAAATATTCTCAATTTGTATTATTCTTACCAGTGTCAAACAAGTATTTGTAGGAGATAAAACAGAAATGACTGGTCAGCAGTGATAAAAGTCAACCTATAGAAAGGCTAACGAAAATGTAACAGATGCGTAACATGTTGCCTCACCCCTAAAAACATAAAATGCTTGCAGCATATTGTTCAAAACTCAAGTTATGGGTTTTCATAAATAATCAGCTCAACCTGTACCAGAAAACCACTTCAAGGTCACCAGGACAAGATGAAAGAACCATTCAGTAACATACAGTTACCCCAAAATTCAGCTCTAAGACTTATGAAAGATTCTTGTTGACAACAAGCCAGAAAAATTAAAAATGGCTACTACATTTAGAATAAAACCTATGCTACAGAAAAATATATTTTACAGCTTGTTTCAAATGCCACATGATGAAGGGGCTGGTACACAGTGAATAATCACAGAGCCTGCATCAGTAGCTATTTCCATTTACTCACCTATGTTCTGTATGAAAGGAGTTACAGTGCTTATATTCATTTGGAAATTCATTCCTCTGATACCAGCTGTAATCAAAAATAATTTTTTAAAGTTAATTCTCGCAAAACCTACAGATTTGTTGAAAATCTTAGTAAGAGGCTACTATACCTCTCAGAAGTTATTATTTGAACCTGTATAAGAATCCTGATTTCTCCCAGGAAAAATTAATTCCTTAAATCACTTTTGAGAACTTCAACAAAAGGAAGCAAACAAGCATCATCAAAATTTGTCCAAAAAGGAAATAATTCACTTAATGCATTTCACAGAAATTTAGATCAAGATTCTTCTCTCTTTCATTAAAAGTATTTACAAGGAATTGAACAGTTTTCACCTCTCAAACAAAGCACCCATACAAAATTAATCTAGACTTCTTAATCGAGATTTTTCAAAAAACTCAAATACAATCTGAGCTGCTTTATGCTCTGGAGAAGTCCCTAGAAAACACGCATAGCAAATGCCTTTTTCTTACAGCAGAGATTAAAGCAGCCAAAAAATTCAGTATTCACCATATGTTTGGTACAGGTCCTACCCTGTAAATTTAATCATTTTGATGTTTAGGACTTTTTATTATTTTTAAAAATTTATATCGGGCAGAATTTGTTTTTTAATGTTGCATTTGGATTTGCAGATTATGTACTCTAATACATAACAAGATTTTTATTCCCCTCCCCATCCCCCACCTCCTAAACTGTGGAATGGTTCCACGGCACTCTGCACAGTTTCTGCAAACTAAATTTCAAAGTTTCCATAGGTTTTGTTGCATGTTCAAAAGCTCAAAGTTCTATGTGGACTTTGGAAAAGGTTGAAGTTTTACAAGGTGGGGCGGGGGGGAAGTGCAACATTTGATGCCTTCTTGAACAGACTTTGCTGGACCACATATTCAAGAAGACATTGCAGTACCAAAAAAACCCCATCAAAATAAAGGGATGGTAAATGACTCACTATTTTTGCATTCAGTCAGATTGTAAACAGATGAAACAGGAAGGGTTTCATTTTTGCATTTAATGCAGCTGCTACTACCATCCTCATTCCATCGTCTGTAACAACCTGCATAAGAATAAGATGTACAGAGGTTTGAAAACAACAAAAGTGACACTGGAGATATTTCCTAGTCTTCAGAAAGAAGTAAAGGCAACAGAAATTCCCTCCGTTTGGTCTACTGGTTACAAACACCTCCTGCTTCCTATTATATTACACAAGTTAAGAGGTTTCATTTCAAAGTGTTTATTCCAGAAAAAGATACAACCTTTCAAGGGCCAAAAAGGAGAAAGAGTTACAAGCAAACAACACCCAGAGGGCAATTTCAACATAGCTCCATTCACTGCTTCACATCTTTCACTTTTAAGAAAAATAGGAAGTGTCTAACAGCCTGTAACTGCCCTCAACAATACTAAAAAAGAAGCAGAATTTTACCATTTACTTTCAGAGGTCATACACTGCTGAAACAAAATTTAGCACCCTTTTAATATATAGTACTGAAAATAGAAGTAGGCAGGGACAAAGATGCTAAGAACCAGAAAGCGTGTACTTGGATGAAAAAAGATGCTGACATCCCTATAGTCAATCACTTGAAGCATGGCAAGCTAAAAATACGAATACTGCCATAGTACAGTCTTTTTCCCATGCCTCAGTCCTCTCAAGTATTGTACTATTTGTTTCACATTAAGAAGAAGCCAAGCCTGTTTAAACTATTCTGTGACAGATGGCGAGTGTTTTCTATCAGTCACCCAACCATGCAGGCTGGAAACTGATTAAACTTTCATCTTGGTCTGTGTCTTCAATGTTCAAATCTCTCAATTTATGTTTAAATGCACATACGGCTATGTCTTTTTTTAAGAAAAAAAAAATGTAGGGAACATCTTCAGCAACAACTTCATTTAATACAATAAAGCTGTGGTGGTTTCACTTGAGGCTTAGACTTGAGACATGAAGATTAGAAGGATATTCCTACTATATCATATTACAGTCTACATTTAAAGGAAAAAAAAACTTACTGTGCTGGCTAAAATCCAGTTCTATAGAGCCTTGAGCCAAACTGGTATCAATTATCCTATAAAGCAAACCATTAGTAAGGTGCTGATTTGAAAACAGCTCTGCTGCTACGTTTTCCTTAGAGAGAAGCAGCACATTTGATGCCCACAGTAATAAATTACATCTGACATTTAATCTAAACACAAACAGAACCAACGTAAGGGCAAAGACTTTCTACAGTAATAGGAAGGAAGCATCAAAGCACTTATCTGACACCAAAGAGAGGGGTAGATTATCAGTTTACAATAAGATTTAAGAGAATGCAATCCCATAACTTGAAGACAATTGTTTATACCATATCTAAGATTGTTTAGAAGCAGAAATGAATGCATTAAACGAAGCAACAGTTAGAGATGCTAATGAAACAGTGAAAATAGATAGGTTTAAAATGCTTTAACAACCATCACAAGGAAATAACTGAACCCAGAAGCGGACCCCAATTTTTAAGTCACTAATTCTCTTGTTACTGTGGGCTGTGGAACCATTTTCCTGCTTTTGCTCTCCAATTTTAAATAAAATGGCATTAAAAAAAGACCACCCTTTTGCTATTGCTGGAGAGTGGCAAAAGAAGTTAACTCCGTTTAGAAGAAAACAACTCTACCTATATGGCACAAGAAATAATGAGGCAATTTGTGCTAACAAGACGATATTGAAATTATTCTTAATGCTCCCATAGATATGCATTACAGCATTTTTGCTTTTTGTGTTCATTATACGGACTTTTAGTGCTTTTAAGCATTTACAATAGCTCTTACATAATCCAACTGCACACTAAAAAAAGATAAAGAATAACTTTATTAATAGGCGTCTATTCTCCTTACCATGCAAGAACATTTGTGAATCAAAAGAAGTATTATCTTGTGTATACAGAGGAAGAAAGACTTCAATATGTACATGCGCTAATTATTTTGTTTTCACTCCCCAATTCATCAGGCACTGTATTTTGGTGTTAACTGTGAAAAACAAATCTGGAATTTTAATAAAAAAATGACACATTATACCTGGACTGCACTGGTTGGTTACTGGACAGGAACTGTTTGAATCCAGCATATCCACACAGCATTCTGTTTCTGAAACCTAAGAAAATAAATTACATAACATTTCACACAGTTTTTAAGCTTATTAAAATGCTTCTACCAAAAAAAAAAATCTATGAAGAACGGGAGAATAGGCAGTGACTGCAGTTAAAACTTGCTATAACTTTTTCTTTTTTCATGAAGCAACCTTACAAGGAGAAAACATGCTAGATGCACCATCAAGCTGATTTTGACCTGGCAGCTGCTACCCAAACTAACACTTCGAGAACAAATGCACACTCTACTGTTGACACTGGACAAAGCCGCAGAAAAACTGCTTTAGAAATATACTTGCTAAATTCTTCAGTGAAGCACAGTTCAGAGGGGAAACTATCCTTCCCACAGCACTGTACAAATGCCCTAACAGATTTACTAAGAAATATTATTGGCAAAATGACCGGCAAAAAACAGTTTTCACTGAATGCCCATATTGCAAGTGATAACATCTACATTTGGCAGAGCAATCCAGCAGAACTACAAAAGCTTAGTCCTTCAACATTTAATATAAAAGAATAACTTCACATATCCTGAAGGCACATAGTTTATTTTTAATTTTTGTTTGTTTATATAAAAGCCAGTTTCAAAATTATTTACAAATTACAACAAGCTCTGACATAGGCTTAGAGATAAACAGTTGTTAGAAACTCTGTGGTTCTTCTGATAGATATTAGTAACATCCTGTATAGACTTGGGCACATCCACTCCCTGAATGTGTACAAAATAAGCCACAAAACTCCCATGCCTTTTAAAGTTTTGCAGGTACGTTCCCCTAAAGAATATAGCAAGTCAAATCAGTCTCAAAAAGGGATGGAGTATTCTTGGTCAAAAGTAACAAGTCCTGATCTTTATTCAGCCATAAAAGTAACTTAAATATACCTAACGTAACAGCCAGTATTATTCTGCTTATAAGCAAACCTCATCAAATATAGGAGTGACAAAGATCAAAGGAGAAATGGTTGGGACTGTCAAAACTGATATTAGTAAGCTGACTTCACACTGTGAGTGCATCATGGGGAGGTAGACTACAGTAAAGAACCAGAAGATCTATAGGTAACATGCTTAAGAACAGTTTTTTAAAAACTTCTGTTGGTCAAACTCTCCTGCAAGCAGAATTTTATCCTCTGATCTTTTTCTGGGACTTGAAGCAGTGTTTTCTTCAGAGCTTCTAAGTCATTTAAAAAGTTAACTTCTGGGTATCCATATTTTGGATTGTTTGTAGTTAAACTGCCAAGCAGCTTGAAAAGTGGTTTTTTGATCATCAGGGTGCTTTTTCCACATGGTGTGAGGCATTATCAGCTGCATCCCTGCTAGCCTACAAGCACATGACTAGGAAGAATTCAATGTTTTAATAGGCAACCAGCCATCATAGCAAACTGACCCACTGTAAAAGTTTCAGTTAATGACTACTAGCAGTATGGGTCATTTCTGTTGAATTAGAAAGCCTTCTATAAACTGCAATATGAGAGGAAAATAATCTGATCCTTCTGGTTTTCTAGCACCTAGCATGACAAAAAACCATGAAGTACCTACCGAACTTTCAGTAGATTTGCTGGCAACCTCTGCTACGAATCTAGTTAAGAGAAGGACATATGGCACCTCCATGCCCAGGAAAGACACAGGTCTAAGTAAGAACAGGGAAAAAAATTAGAACGTCTTATTAATGACAGAGAAGTTACGCTTTCCCTTTGTTAAGGAACTTTTGCCAACACATTCCTTTTACGTGAATGCAAAGGTTTTTAAATTAAATATGCCAGGGATGGGGGGGGAATGACTTACCTTGGCTCAAGACCCAGATCTGAGACATTCAGAATTTTCCCTCCAGCTGCAGAGGGGCAGGTTTCTGGCTATGGCAGACTGTGGTTGCTAAGAAACAAGGAGCCTTATCAGTTTGCTCCAAACTGGGCCATGCAGAGGCTATTCCACACCCAGGATCTAAAAATCAATGTGATTGCAATAGAACAGTTACCACCTGGCACCACCACTGATAAGCCTCCCCACAGTTACAGGCTCCTCTGGCGGCAGCACTGAACTGTGATGGATTTGTATCAGGACAGAAAGCACACGCCACTTTGAAAAGGCAATACTGTAATTAATTTCTCCCATGACAGCACAACCACGAAGCATTAATGAAGTCTATCTGTTAGTAAGTAGTGTTTCTCAATTGCCTGAGAACAGACCTTCTCAATGTGGAAAAGAGTGTTTTGGACAATCTGCTACAAGCCTTGCTTTTTTCCCCCCCCCTCCGGTTTTGCCATATACCTCCACACAGACCCTAACAAAAGTCCATGTTTCTTACATTAATTTGTTTGGATAAACTACAAGGTGCTACATCATACTTGATCTGCATTGTTCAGACACTCCCTATATCAATACTATGATATCTGCCTGTTCTCTAGTTAATAAAATCTTGGAAGCTACATCCAGTTCTCAGTACCTGCAGCATAGTAGCTTTAGGAAAATAGTGTTTTTCATATTATAAATAAAACATGGGGACACACAAGGCCCTCTAGCCAGAGATTAATAAGAGGAAAGAATACAAAAGAAAGCCTTCAACTTTAAGGGAGAACTCCTTTAGCGACTCATCTCACAAGCTGAAATGTGTTACTATTTTTGTTAAATAAAAATCCAGTGGGTGAGTTTTAAATTACTGCAAAATACGTATCGTGACCCTTGGGAAGTTGTTTTTCTGAAGAAAAAAATCATTGAGAAGTTCCTATGATTAATTTCTGTTCAGCTTTTTAAACCACTTACACTGAGCCTGCTGCCTCAACTTCAAAATAAGATTAGTTCAGCTTGGTTGGAAAACTTATTATTATCCCGTTATCAGCTGAAAGTTCCAAAATCAAGGACTGAAAATCCTGAAAACCAAATTCCACTCTTACTGATGCAACTGATTTCTCCAGTTAGTGATGAGGGGCAGAGCAGGAAAAGTTGCACTGTCACGACACCTTCCAATTCAAGTGTAATGATGGATGTCAAGTCCGTCAGTGTCAAGCTGCAGCATCCACAACTTCATCAGTTCACATTTACATGCACGTAATAAAGTGACATCTGTACTAAATTGAAGAGCAGACAGTCAATATAAGTGCACTATGCGTGCAATGCTAGCTGACAAAGGTCAAGAAAGTGCCAGATTAGCCTTGCTGTTGGCAGTGTGGTTTCCAGGAACCACGGAATGTAAGCAGCAAGGAGCCCTTGTACATACAGAGATTCTCCAGAATGAGATACTAAGAGCCAGTTAGCTTCAGGAATGGTACCACCACCACATCCTGGAGTGAAAATTAAGATGAATTATGCAGTTTACAGAGCTGAAAGATTGAACAGTGAAAAAGAACAGGGAAAAATTAGCTTTGGGAATTTTACAGAAGGATGGAAAGATGCATTTCTAATCTAGATCAAAGCTTATAAATTGATGGCGAAAAAGCTTTAATATTATTTTTCAACAATACCTGACATAACAAGATACCTCAAATGCCAACACCTGTTTTAACAAAAAGGTGAAGTCATCTCAGCAGATGAAAGGAGGCAACCTTTCCAGGGTGCAGTACATACCCCGAAAGCCAAGAACACCTAGCTTATAGCTTTGATGGTAACAGTTCCTTCTTAAACACATTTGAGCAGAACAGAAGCTACTTACAACTCAGTAAGTGATTGCTGATGTAGGCATTGCAGTTATCTAGTTTGACAGAGAGCTTTCCACTTTTGTACGACAGTATAAGAGCACTTATATAAATGCTATGAATAATTCTGGTTTAGATCATATTGAGTATAACTTTAATTTGCACATTTAACCTTTTAAAAACAGGTTTTTTTCTTTTCATGTCTTTCTATTGCAGTAAAGGTTGAGTAACAACAGTTTAGGAATTTTCAAGGCAGTCCAGCAGAGTCTAATGTTAAAACATCCATCAATATGCATACCCTGAAGATTGTATTTCAAACAATACATACACAGAGTTTGCCTTAATACCTATCAGTTTTCTACAGTCTGTCTTCAGAAATGGATATTGCTTCTTGGATGAAAAAAGCTTCCTTTGAGGAAAACAGAGTTGGTAAAGACATCTGCTGATAAATTCTTCTGTTTTGGATGCTATGCAAAGATTTTTGTCAATACCTGATTATTACAACAGTTGTAAATTCTAAGAAAAGGCAGATGAAAAAGGCATTTGTTTAAACAAATATATTCTTGTTACTAGAAAAATACTTATTTTCAGGAACAGGTCATACTAAACAAGAACTAGATGATCTTTAAGGTCCCTCCCAACCCAAATCATTCTATGATCCTATTTTAAGAAAACATTTGTGAAACTAGCCACTTCCAAGTGAATTGCTATACAGCATAAGCTCAATATTGGTTGTATTTCCATTCCTGAAATAAATCAAGATACTAATCAACAATACCATTCTATTTATGGGCAGATATTTGTTCACAGCCGCTAGTGATTCTAACAAACTAGAACATCTGCCCTGCAGCTGTTCCAGTAGATATAGGACACAAGATCTATTTGCCCTCAAATCATCAGCCAATATTTTCTATTTCTGTGAGAGAGTCAAGATCTAATCTTTTATATATTTATTATTTGTTGTTTGGTTGTTTTTTGTCTGAACCAGTTGTAACTGCAGAAAAAGGAAAACATATTAACAAGCTCCTTTAAAGATTCCAAAGATATGAGACACGTTATATTTACTCAATCTACATTTTACTCCAGGTTCCAGAACCACTTCTTCACATCCTGCTGGATTCTCTATTGGCTAGTAAAAATTAGAAGCCTATTAACATAATATATAAATAACACCTGTCTGAATAAGGCAGAAATTGAAGCCATGAAGGTAACAGTAGATAACTACTATCTTTTTTTTAGGATAACGCCCATAAAAGATATCAGACAGCCTTAAGTATCCATATTCTTTATATGTAATAATATGAAAAACATATATAGTGTTCCTGAAGTCTGGTTGTAACCCACCTCAGCAAGGTTGGAAAAAGCTTGTAAGTCAAAGAATAAATCAACTGCAGGACTTCCAAACAAGACAGCAACTTCAAGTAGGGATTTGTACTGTTAATTGGTCTCCCCGTACAAAACCATGAAGTGGTAACATAACTCATTTTAAGGCTTTCCAGCCACAAGTCAATCATAACCATTCTCTTGCCAACCTGAAAACAATATTTTATACCATAATTGTAACTTTAGAAAGGAAGAAGCCCTAGAGCCTCCAATACATTCAGTATATACGAATATTAACCCTGCCTCTGAATGAGGTAGCTGAAGTTTTAGTTTTTAAATTAAGTATGTGAATTTGATCAGGATCAGACACCCACAGCAAAACAATTTACAAGCCCATAGAATATGTTCCACGTTTGGCAGCATTTCCTCTTTGGTTTACAGAAAAAAAGATAATGTCATGCACAGACTGAAGCCCAAATTAGATCGTATTTATGCTTGAGATGCCAACACAGTTTTGAGAACACAGACTTTTTAATTAAAACAAGTATTTAACACCAGAGTACCACATTTGAAACTAATCTCAAAATCACTGTCAACTTGGATCTCAAGTGCCACAATACACATAGGCTAAACACATCAAGATTCACTAAGGGAATTCTTCCTCTTGTTGCCTTTAAAAAAAGAATGCAAACAATTCATGAACACTAGGCACTAGAAGAGTTCCTCCCACTCCCAGAAGCACATGTTCCTTAATTCATCTTTATATCTACATTTTCCACACATATAGATGTGTATTTATTATTTCTGTTGAATTACCTGTATCTTTCTTGCTTAAAGTGTTGCTGGAGCATTGTTTAAGCAAGGTAATTTTTTCAGGTATATGGAAAAAGATTACAATAAAAAGAAGCATTGCCTAAGTTTCAGGTGGTTTTACAGTTCACTCAGCAGATCAGAGTTTGAAACTGTATCACACTAATTCCACTGCCAAAGGCTTCTTAATTCTGACACGACCTTGAATTAGCCCCGATAAAAAAGTGATATCACAAAAGTCAAAATGCAGTCTCACAAACAACAGACTTGTAAAGGCCTAAATTCTCACTTACCAGCTCTTTCAGAGGTATGCACTAAAACACTGCATCTTCCTCAGATAACACCGAATGGTTGTGGTATGTGGTTTACTTCTGATTTCTCCTTGACACTGCAACTGTTTCACAATAAACCTGCACGGTAGAACAGATACGGGTTGTGCTTAGAACAATCTTGTATAAATTAAAGCTGGACTCGTTTTTCCAGCTTTCTTAACATGCACCCATGAAAAGAACTACTATCTCTACCCTTACCTCAAAATGATTATGTAACAGGCCAGCAACCGACAATTAAAAATACACACCTTCTGCTCAAGACAATGAAGATACCTACTTTAAGCCAGGCTTTGCTTCAAAAGCAGTTACGTACCTGGAATGTGCCTAGAGCAAGCACTAATTAACACCAGCATTACTTTTGTTCAGTCAACAAAAAACTAGCAGTAAGTTCTGCCGTTACAACAGTCATTGGATCCTTAAAAAACTGGGGGCAGAAATGAATGCTGGTGCAATTTGCTTGCCAATAGTATAGCTGTACACTACAGGGAAAGATTCTTTGCAAACTGAACATATGTCTGGCCTATTTAGGGTTGCTTATAAACCCTAAGTATTGCAACAGAATTCTGTGTTATAGAGGTACACATCTGACGGGAAAATAAACAAACAACAAACACCCACAAGACCCGAAAGTCTCAGGTTGCCAAAAAAACTGTAGTAAACTGAGTTAGTTTATTAGGAGAAAGAGTATCCGAAGTTTTATTGGACCATGAGAAAGAGACGACTCGTTTCCAAATGCACCTCAAGAACACTGCACTTCAACGTAAATCGCCTCAGGAGCACGGTAGCCTTGAAAAAGCTGGGCAAGGAGGAGGAACAGGGGCGACTCTTCGCCAGCTTTACCCTACATGGCAAACCACCGCCGCTGCTTCCTCGCCGCAGCCCCACCCCGGCCCCGCCGAGCGGGTCGGGGGCTTTTTCCGCGGGAACGCGCCCTCCCCGCCGGCTCTCCGCTCGGTAAATACGTTTCTACTGCCGGGATGCCGCCCGGGGGGGCCGGCCCCAGCGTCCCTCCCCACACCGCCGCTTCCACGGGCGGCGGGACAGCGAGGCGGGGGCCCACGGGCGGCCTCTGGCAGACCGCTCCCGGGCTCGCCGCCTCGCCTCACCTGCCCGGCGGCGCCTCCCACGCCCACGAACAATAGGGCGACGCCCGGGGGCTCGCCGCCCCGCCCCGGGGGTTTCACCGCCCCGCATCCCTCCCCCACGGCCGGAGGGGCCCGGCCGCCTTCCCCCGCCGCCTCCATACCTGAGGGAAGCGACCTGCGGCGGCACCGGCGGCAGGTTCCCTTTCGTACCCCCCGCCCTCAGGCGGCGCCCTGCCCGCTCCTTCCCGCGGCGCCCTGGGAGTTGTAGTTCCTCCCCTTCGCCGGCAGACGCGCCGGTTCGCTGAGCAGGCCGCGGCCTCGGAACTACAAATCCCAGCAGCCCCCTCGCCGCGCCCTACCTGCCGGCCCCCCCTCCCCTCAGGTAAACCCCCGCCCTCAGCCCGGCCCCGCAGCGTCTTCTCCGGCGCCGCTCTCCCGCGCGCGGTGCCTCCTGGGAAAGCGAGTCCTGCGTCTGCAGGCGGGTCGAGGGGCAGGCGGGCCTCGGCACTGCGACTCCCGGCGTGCCTAGCGCGGGCGCGCCCATTTTAGGCGTTGCTTGGCGACGCGGACGCGGCGGGGGGGAGCAGCGCGAAGCCGCGGAGGCCTGTTCACCGTCCCTTGGGCCTTCTGCCAAAGGGGGGGTAATATCATCATCAAAGGGTGCAATATTTCATTAGAGAAGCGTCAGGAGAGGGGACACAAGGAGGCTACGGCACGGCTGGAGTCCCTTGAGATGGCCTGACAGCAGCCTCTGTCCAAGCACGGAGGTTTCAGAGAAGGAATGGAAGCTCTGAGAAGCACAGGGCCATGCTGGCGTCCAGCAGGATGACACCCACTACAGAGCTGTTCACCTAAGCAGGCTCCTCTCCCATCACGGCTTGGCCCCGTTACCAGCTACAGCTGAAGCGGGGCAGAAAGGGCAGGATCTCTTGGCAAAACCAAGACCTGAAACGAGAGGACATAAAAGCTGCACTTCTGATCTGAAATCTATGCCTTCATGTTCCCATGAAGTTCCTTCAATTAACCTAGGTCTGGAAGAGAGAGAATTAAAACTTGTTCCAAGTTTGAGATGGCAGTACATTGTGTAACAAATTTAAAATACAAATACTATAGGCAATGCCAAATGTCATTTGGGTAAAGATATCAATTCTATAGTATGCTTTTTAAAATAAAATATTTTAAAATATTTAAATTCTTTGAAAGTTGCTCTCTCCGGCATCATATCTGGAAATATTTTTTTTCCAGTAAGGAAGAAACAACCAAGTTAAGTGTAATAAAGAATAAAAATACTTATCAAGAAAATTCATGTTCAGTTTTACTGAATATTTATATAACTGCAGATGAAAACTCAGTGCAGCTCTTCACAAATTTCCTAATCTGGATACCTCAGAAGAACAGCAATTTACTGTGATTTCTTTTTTTTTCCAAAGTAGGTACAATGTTTCAGAGCAGAACCTAGAATCTCAGAGAAAAACTTAAGTGCACTACTAATACTCAAAACTGAAGTCAGCAGGAACAAGCTTTCACTGAACTTTTGATACAGCAGTCCTAGAGCTTCTCCCACAAAGTGTGGATATATGATATAATTCAATACACTTTGCTAAAGATAGAAGAAAATGGGGCAAGTGGGTGGACAGACTTGTTTGCTTTCTGTTCTTTGTGTGTAGCACCCAATGATACACAGAAATCAGCTTCTGGTAAACATACAGAGTAGCTAAGTGCTGAAACTGCAAACATTGTTATCATTGGTTTCATTTGCGGTTACACAGAACTTTCAGAGATCCATAATTTGCACATTAGCAGAGCAGTTAAAACGATTCTCAAACACCTTCGGATTCAATGGGTTACTGGATGCAAAAACAGACACATACACCATGACAAAGTATTTTGACATAAAAGTAATACTTCATCTCAATATCAAATTCATCCTCTTCAATGATTAAGCTTTCTGCCTTTTGCTCTGTTCACTAGCTATAAAACTTACAATGCCTTCATAGCCAGGAAAAACATTTCTTGCCTTTTTTTCTTAGCTGTGTACTGTGGTTTGCATTACTTTGTAAATGTGTCCCTTGGAAACTGTTCTGCAGCTTCGTAAGCTTTTTGTGATTCCTTCCCACCCCAGCCTTCTATCGGCATTTCACAAAACAGGACACTTGGCTGAATGCATAGTGAGACAGTGTGATTGGAATTTTTCTTGCCTAACAGATTCAATGCATGTAAGAGGCTGTGATTTAAATCCTATGAACAGTTTAGTAGTTGACACCCAAATTTATTAAATTTCTCCATAACCATAGTTACACTATAAAGCTCAGTATCTTTCTCTACAACATGCCTGTGCAGAACCAGGTATGCTACTTTCAAATTTATAAATGGAAGAAGGAAAGGTGGAAATTATGAGTTTTGAATTTAGGGTCAAAGCATGTGTCAATTTATGAGGCAGAAAAAAGTTCTGCACGTGGACAGGTATAGCTAGGTTTTCTGATGCTTAGTTTTTGGTTGTTTGGTTGTTTTTTTGTTTTTTTTTTTTTTTTTTTCCTCCATAATTCAGAGGGCAGTACTGCTGTGAAACAAAATTGCTGGAAAAGGGTCTTAGACACTAGCAAAACAAATATCACTAAATATCTGTCTTTCTGGCTGGTTCCATAGTTATTGCCACTGCAGCACTAAAGTGCAGTCCTTCAAAACTAGGTTGCTGCTCTTGAGCACATATTTTACCAGAACAAAAGAGTGAGTAAACCAATGGGATGTACGGTTCAAACTGCTTTTTGCAGTGACCTTTCCAATCTGAGGGTGGGGGAAAATTGGGAGCTTATGGAAAGTTTCATTGTGTGTTAAAGTGCAAGCTACTATAACAAATAACTAGAACCAGATACATGATTAATAAAATCATGTGAAAATGTGTCTACTATACCTCAATAGTGCCTTAAAAATAATTCTTACTGTATTGAAATTTCCTGCTCATCTCTGTCTATTAAGTTTTTATCACACAACGTGTCCAGACATCTCTTCAAAGTGATGTTGGCAGACATAACTTTGCAGTGGTTTTAACTGTTGCATATTGTTTTCAGCGCTTGGCAGAAAAAGGTGTCAAAATTAACATCCTTTGGTAGGCAGAGAATTACAAATTGCTTCAAAACAACTATTAATGTATGTTACTTAACAGAAAGATCTAATCTATCAACTCTATCATCAGGCTGTGAGAAAGGGGAAAAAAATTATTCTTTTAGATCATATTATCTGTTTTCTCTGTCAGCTATTTCCAGTATATCTGTGTAATATGTAGGCATCTCCAGAGGTTTGTATAGCTGGAAGGAAACAGCACTGTTTCTGCTATGTTTAGGAGGTACTTCGGCATCCTGCAAGTTTAAGCCTAACCTTGCTTTTGCAGTGGTTATATTAATTAGATTTCTGTACTCAGCTTCCAGACTTGTCTCTTTCTGCACACAACTGCCGTGAAAGTGTTCTGTCATTTAGACTTCCTGATTTGTGGCTTTTACCAATTGGATGAGGCAGTTACCAAGACTTCCCCTAAGAGACAGAGCAAAAACACTCTTCACTTTGCATGTTACAGAGCAGCTCTGAAACAAAGCAGAGAATACAGTGCGCAGTTATTTGGGCAATGGTTTTCTTCAGAGATATTTCTGTTCAGTGCAACAGCTGCTGTGACAGAAAGATGTTCTGCAGAGTTGCTAAAGGCTCACTAGCAGGTAGCCCCATTCCTTTCATCCACAGCACAGACAATAACCACCTGCTGTCTGAAAGGACACTTCGATAGATTTGGGGAATGGGGATGAGACTACAGGTTATTGTAAAAATCTGGATGCCTCTGAGCATACTCTATTTCTTATTGCTTTGACCAATTAATTTTTCGGTGAATACCATATCCTTAAGGAAAAAGCTTGGAATATTGACTCATGTGGAGCATAACATCATCTGTACCAACACTGACAAGTTTTCCCAGATCTGACCTACTATTCTTCTAGTAAATTAAAGCATCAGTTCTTCTATGTGCTCGCTCCTATTCAAACTGCCCCAAATTAGTCATGATCTTTAATCTTCTCTGGACTTCTATCTATTAGGCTCCTTGCCCTGACAGTGCCTCTAAACGACATCATCTCATACAGCCAGGGTTTCTCTTTACTAAGCAAGCACTGCTGATTTCATATTGACAATTTCAAAGGTCTGCCTTTGATCAAAGCAGGAACAGGAAGGCTTAAGCCTTTTCTCTTTCAAAGCAGCTTTATGATAAAAGTCTACTGATAGATTTGCATTCATATTAAGGACAAGCTCAAAAGCCTTCTGTTTTTAAGAAGAATATAGAGGTTATTTGTAAAATTTGTAATAGGTCTCTAACAATGCATACCAGATGGTAAATGATACTGCCTTTCACAAGTACATTTGCTCATCCTGTACTTTTCCTGGAAGAGCACCTGGGTGACACACAGCTAGGCAGTCAAGCAGAAAGTTATTGCTCTTGCGCAGATATGACCTACATAACAGAAGTGAAAACGTTAGTCGCCTTGTCAAGAGAATGACTGCTAGCCTTGACATAATTTTATGGTCTGCTAATCCACTGGCAATATTTCTGTTAATTGGGGAAACATTTTGATATATTCCTGACACATATAGCAACCCTTCAGGAGAACTATATTACCAGTGTAATTGGATAGATTGAGGCAGTTTAACAGTTGTAATTTCTGAGATTACCTAGCTGTTAATTGAGAAATATGCAGAGCATTCCCTAACTTCTCATTGTATGATTTATGGGAATTAAAGACCTCCTTGAGAAACACCTTTCAGTCGGGCAAAAGGATGTTTCAAATCTTAGCTATTTGAATGGAAACATGTGGGTCAGTCTACGGCCATGTATGATGCTTTGATCAAGCAGAAGTTTAAAATTTCTGCTCCCAACACACCCTTTACTTCTTTAATTTGCTAAGCTTGGGGGGGGGGGGGGGGGGGGGGGGGGGGGGCAGGGGGGGAAGGGGAGGAAGGGGCAATTCCAGACAAAATTTCATGGACACTTTGAAACTAGTTTAGTACCATCAAAGTAACTTGCTCTACTATTATCATTAAGCAGGGATTTTTAATACTACCAGGATAAACATGCACATCACTTGACTTACCAGTTATATTTTATTTAGAAGTTTTCTTTACAGATTTTTTTCCCTTAAGGCAGAGGTCTAGAAAGGAAAATGAAGTCACAACTGCTTTTTTTTTCATAAATCCTGAAAGTTTAAAAGTAGAAGGTGAACAAAAAGC